TTCATTCAAATTTTAAGAAAATAAGTCTCTAAGGGAGGAAAATTAGGAAATGAATCCGGTTTATTACACTTCTTCTTCACTTTCCGTTAACCGATTTCAATAAAACCTTGCCATATAGATGTAATTCCACAAACTTTTGACGCTGTTTTTTTTTATTCGTTATCTGTTTTCATAAATAAATGTCTTAAAACGTAATTCGACAAAAGTTTTCTAAAATCTATAATTAACCAGTTAACTGCTAAACAATTAACTCTACACTTAAGTTACGTAAGATTACGACCTTAAAAGTGTGCAGTAAAGGAAGAAGGATATCCCTTAACTAGAATTTGATTCTAATGAGTAGAATTTTCGAGCTGTTTTTATATGGTTTTATATTTCAATTTTTAACTGTTTTTAATCTATTATTGATTTTTTAATTTAATTTCACGATCTTTATATATTCTTCATCAATATCGAATACAAAGACTATAACTGCCTTCGTGGCCGAACGGTTACCATGCTGGACTGCCACGCAAATATCCCGAGTTCGATTCCCCGGCCGGGAGAAATGTTTGTGTGGCCTACATTTATTTCTCTCATGAGTTTGTGGTTGTTAATATCTGTATCCATGACAACCGCGATATAGGGTTTCCCTAGTGCTGAGTTTTAAGTGTGTGCGAGTCGTTCGTTTAAAGAAAAATTCTTCGACCAGACAGGGCTCGAATCTGCAACCAAGGGATTCCGTTCCCATCGCTGTGCCAACTAATCTAAATGTCGAGTTTAACAAGCCGTCGAAATTCTTCTATGTGTTTGTTATAAAGAGATCTTTACATTGTTTTTAATCTATTATATTGTATATATATTCAACAGGGATAATAATTTACTACATGTAATGTATTATTAAACGACTTCAAAAAAGGAGGAAGTTTTTCATCGAATATATTTTTTTATAATACCAAGTGACGGGGCGAACAAGTCGTGCACCTGGTGATAAGCGACACGCCTGTCCATAACAGTTGCAGTGCCACTCAGAGCTTAAATCGCAAAGATGAGGCACCGCTACAGCGCCCGTTACCCTGGGACATACATAAGTTGGCAAGCCCCATGTGCCTGTAATTTCACCAACACCCTTGCCCTTGAAAACCGGAACGCAGTAATGCTCATATTACCATTTGGCGGATGGCAGTACTTCACTGGATAAACTCTTTCACATGGATCTTTACTGCTACTAAAATAGAGAAGCGTATGTCACGCGATAACTTCGGCATTTGCTAACCGATTTTGATGATTCTTTTTTTGTTGAAAAAAGAGTGTCTCTGTATTGATTCTATTTAAATTTAAAGAAGATATTCCACCTCTAAGGGTGGCAAACTAAGCTGAACCCGCTGTTTTATAAAAAAAATCCGCACGACCGCTTTTAATTTTCATAATATTTTTGTTACCATTGACAGTTTCGATCTGAACACACGCTACGTGCTTGTGCAAAGAAAGTTTGAAAATTAGGGGTATATATTTTTAAGTAAGAATTACTATGTTACTAAATAAACGTTTAAGACGAGTAAAAACTGTTTTACTACACTAAAAGGTTTATGTACATATATACTATTAAATAACGGTGTTACAAAAAATATACGATGCACCTAAGGACACTGTCTAAAGAATGTTCTATAAATGTAAATGAGTTATTGTGAAACTCGTTACACGACAGGATGTACTTTAGCCGATCATATAAAATGCCAAAACAGACTAAAAATAAAAGTTTAAAATGATTTATTTAACATACTTTTTATATGGAAATATTTATCTTTAAGTACTACAGAGAACCTGCTAATTTTTGGTTTTCAACTGAAGCCCTATTTAGTTATTAAATTACATTTATTGCAAAACTTGAAAATTGCCGTCAATCACCATCGAGCCCTTGTCAACATTTGTGTCAAATTTTCTCTCAGACATCATTCCTATTATTAATTTTGTTATTTTATATTGTTTAAAGAGCACAACTACACAAATTTTTAATATTACCATTGACTTACAAATAAATGGACGACGGGTCTAATACACAAACCACGAAAAAAATGTCCCAAGTCAACCTATTTAAACGTAGTGACATGTAAAGGATTATGAAAAAGCTAAAACGTTGAATTTAAATTGTAATGTCATCGCAGTACTGTCTAATTTTGCTTGCTTCGCTGTCAGTCGAACAAACGAAGACTAAAGCGTGAATGACGCTCTGTATACGATTTTAACGCCCTATAAGTTCGGACACTTTTTAGCGCGGACCCGACGTCCATATAATTGTAAGTCAATGAATATTGCAGTAATTTTATTCTTTTATAATTAGGTTTTGTTGTTTTAAAATTTAAATTACGGATTTTTAAATTTCATTTATGCTATATTTTCAAACAGGCGTAGCTATCAACCTCATCGCAAGCTCCAGCTGAAAATCAGCGCTGTGGCTCTACCCAGCATTAAGCTGAGCTGGCTAGACTTTTCAGCTATTGTTGTGTATTTTGTATTCAATTTAAGATTCTTTGTATATTTTATTTGTAATAGCCGAACAAATGTTATTTTTATTTCTTACCTTACACGCTTCAAGGCCTATACAACTACTATTCTATATCATCACAACGGCATATTTCGTACTCTTATTGCATTGACACAAAGGTTTTTTTCTATTAGCTATTCGGTGCCAATAAGTGTGATGACACCCTAAGTTAAGTATACTCTAACCAAATTCGATGTAGAATGTTTTAATAACAAAACGTCGCTAGGCAACCAATGATGACATAGGAAAAAAACATTTTTTTCAATGCTCATTATTAAAGCTTCCTCTGCCCCCACGGCCTGCTCTCGTAATTGGAATTTAAATAGGTAAGTGGGTAATTGGATTACGTACAAATAATACTTACTTAGCCAATTATTATAAATAATAATAATAATATGAATTTACTACATATTATAACATCCAGCATCTTTTTCCGATTCTGAACTAGAATTACCACTAGAACTCGAATGTTTGCAATCTCTCCCTTCATATCAAAAAGTCACTAGGGATGACACAGTTTTATAAATAATTAATTACTGGTCATTTTTGTGTCATTTTTAGGTAGTTTTAAACTTCTCTTGAATAATATTCATTATAAACATGGCTTCAAGATTTAGTATTATCCATAATCTAACTGAATTTCGTAGGAAAATATTGAAATTGTTGTAACTGTGAAAGAGTCTGGGATGAAAACCCTAAAAATCAAATGTTTTTGTTTGTTGACATTTATTCTACATCGAATTTGGCTAGAGTATAGGTACCAACGTGAATAGATTCCAAACTTGAAATTGTATTTAATAAAAAAAATGTAGATTTACAAGACCATGACAAACAGACTTCCGTAAGGCTTTTATAAACAGGAAAAAAATCAAATACCAATGTCATTGCCACCGAAATTATAGTTGAGGTCGGTGCAAATCAACCTTTATAAATTATTTAACGGACTCTTTACACCTGGTAATTTGCTTAAAAATGCGTCATACGTGTACAAGTAACTAGTGTTGGGTAATTTTCCGTAAAATTCCATATAAGCAGTGGAAATTTTTCAGAAAAGCTCCTGAAACATTGGAAAAATATTCGAAGACTCATATTATTATGTTCTACGCTTAGATATATCTTTTCAAGTTTTATTTAGCATGAATTTTATAAAATAGAATTGTATAAATATTGCTAAATATAATTTTCTTAACCCATCTTTTCTTATTTTCACAAATTCTCATAAAAAGGGTTCAGTATTTTCAACTTTTGACAGGTGTCACTAACAAATGATGTGAACCCATTTTCATGATTCTTTTTGTTGGAAAGAGGGTACCTCAGTATTCGTCCCATTTAAACTTTAGGAAAATAGTCCATATCTAAGGGTGGGAAACTAGGGGTTGAATCCGGTTTAGCGCACTTTCCGTTAACAATTGTTGCAATTCCAATAAAAAAGCCGACAACAAACTTTTGAGGTCAGTTTTTTTTAATAAAAACGTTATAATATGAAAAAATATGAAAAGGAAATTTTCCCATGACCCAACACTATGTCTAGCGTTTTAAACATAAATTATTTTTATATTTCTGGAAGATATCTACAATTTTTATAAGCTTTGTCGTATAAATTCACGTAATAAACCATTCCAATTTCTTGGTCTCTAATTAACCCTTCCCTTCCTCACGACGGAACGGACCACAACGCCTCGTCGCCTCGCGGCTGCCGAACTTACTGGCGAACGGAGCCCCCATCCCGATCGCCCGCACCCGCGAAGGTAAGCCGCCACCGAGCGGGATCGGCCCTCTCCCGATCACGCCGAAGGAGACCACTGCCTCATGAGACTCTTGATCCGCAAGCATAGCCGTTACTATGCCTGGCGGAGAGAGATCTCGCCCGATCCGTGTAGCCAGGCTATTTCGCTCGGAGGCCCACACGGGTCACTCCTCCAGCGTGTAACTAACTTAACTTAACCCGTCTTATTAGAGAAGATCAGAGCTCATGATTAAATTGATGACGAACGACAACAACTGTTATTCAAATCGTTTTCCCGTCACGTGTATCTAACTAACGTCATCACGTTATTAAAATGTTTTTTTTTTCAAATTTGAATGTTGTTTTGCAACCTTATAGGCTTGATAAAAAAAATATAATTGTGGTTTTAGTTTTTAGTGATATGACTGTGGCAGTGGGCTGGCAATATTTGTCGAGGAATCGACAATCGATGGGACGTAGGACTCATGGCCAGATGGAGTGAAGATTTGAGAAAGGCTGCTGGCAGCAGATCGATGCGACAAGCTAGGGACCAGGTGAAATGACTCGCATTGGGAAAGGTCTATGTCCAGCAGTGGGCTGTGATATGCTGATGATGATGGTAAACATGATGAGCTAACGCGCGACTACGTCGCTTCTACAGGCGTTTAATTCAAACGCGCCCTTCCACAGCCGCGACAAAAATATCAGAATATTTGAAGAAGACAATGTAGACAGGCAAATTGTACTTACCATGATTTATCTTGCCCTGTTGTGATATCAGCATGTTCAACGGCTTGTCACCCCTCAGACGTGGTGTGAACCCGAAGATGGTGTTCCTGGCTGACTGGCCTACAGCCAGATATTGTTTATGCCCCATTTTGTTTAGCTTTTTGTCACACCCCTACATCCGAAGAAAAAGGTTTTCGGGAAGATGTTGTGCGTTGTGCGTTATCTTCGTTCCTGTGGACAAGAGAAATATTACATAAGTAAAAAAAAAATAATATAAGTTAAATAATTTTTATTTCATAGGTAGGAGAATCTGCTGAAAAAAGTGAAATTACAGGCATATAGGACTTGTCAACTTATGTCTCAGGGTGACGGGCGCAGTGGCATTGTCCGTAAGATCTTTTAGCGATTTAAAGCTGTGAGTGACACTGCAACTGTTATGAACAGGCGTGTCGCTTACCACCAGGCGCACGATCTGTTCGTCCAGTCACTTGGTATTACTAAAAAGGGAGAAGGAGGAAATAAGAATATATGGAAAAGATAGAACCCGGAAGCTCAGGGTTGGCGCCAGCATAAAAAGCAGTATGCAAGCCAATCGACCACTGATATATAACTTTTTAATAATAAAAAAGACCTCAAAAGATCGTGGAATTACTTATAAATAGTTTGTTATATATATATAGTATAGCGTCTGGCACGATATGCTAGAAGACTTTGGTTCGAATCAGGCCGGATCGAAGGAATTTTTTCTGAGTGTTCGATCTTAGTATTAATAATTATAAAATCGGTAAAAATATTAATTAGTAACAATAACCTGGTGAGCTTTCAAGTCCAAGTTGACAGCTATCTTCTAGTATGCAATCCAGTCTTTTGAATAAAGCTTAACTTCCTTAAGAACTAAAAAAGATAAACAGGTCACAGCACTATATTGGTATAAAAACTTGTTCTAAATATTTGTTTATGCACTCATTTATATATGAGAATTTTAATTTTAACAACCCAATATTATCTATGTCTTTTCCTTATGAAAGCGTACACTAAACTAATCACAAAAACAAAATAACTACAGTTATATATTTGCATGTTAGTTATTAATATAGTGACGTCAAAGTTGCACCTTTGATTTCTTTGAAATTAATTGATATACTACGAAGCTATTTGATTTATTTTGCGGATGGTTCTATTTACTTATTTAACTGAAACTGGTTTGTGACCCGTTTGGGAACTTTAAGTTGACTAAACTTTAAGAAAATGGTCAAGTCACACTGAAATAGCAGCGGCCGGAGGAGCATTTCCGGCACAAAGTATTACTTAGCATTGTGAATCTTACAGGCTGGTTTCCGTACGTTTAATATTGGGTGGTTTCAATCTGTTTTAGTCGCAGCCAACATGTACGGACAACGGTACATCAGACTACACACTTTTGTTCGAAAATCGCCTCCAGTGCAACGGAATAAGATACGTCAATGTGTAGCTTGATGTGCTGGCGTGTGTACTTAGTGCCGCGGAGATTTTGAATACATGTTTAGTAAGGTTTGATTTATTTGTCTGGGTTTTTATTAAGTGTTTCTTGATGTACCGTTTTTCTAATGGGGCTGATATGTTCAATAACGATCAAAGTCCCTAAATAAATAAAGACTTTAAAAAAAGCTTCTAAAGAAAAATGGTCAAATTGATTTGAAGTAATAGAATGTATAGTGCAGAGAGCCTACCACAACCTCTTAAAACAATATTACTTTAACCTTACATTGACTTTTCGTACCATGACGCGCTTAAAGTAAGCTTATTATAATGTTAAAACTATGATGTTTTATTGGCAGCTTTGTGACTATTCATTCACTCAATTTGTACTATGACTCTATGTGAAATTTAGTAATTTTAGAATAGTTACACGGATGCAGTGGAAACAATAGTATTTTCAGTTTTATTGTCTTAATATTGATTTGTAATGATTAAAAGTTAAGTTGAACTTATTTATTTACATATATCTCTTCAATATTTTGTTTATTTTTTTATTGTATAGCACATAGTAAATAATTTTTCGTTAAATAAAAATACGCGATGTTCATTTCGTAAAATTATAACAGCGCCATCTATATGCTCCTTGGCGAAACTTACAGTTGACACTAGACTATAATTCCGAATTCACAATGTGACTATCAAGACTCGCCTTGTTTTATTTATTTTTCTTCATGAAAATGCGGAATAATTATCGAAAACAACGTAATTTTAATAGATTTTATTATTACATACTTTTCTTTTTTAACAGTCCAAAATTCTCTGAATGTAAATAACATTAAGTACTTAAACATTATACTACGATAAGACGATTCGGAACATCAAAAAAGAAAGAGATGGCATTACATAGTTCACATAGCGTTATCTTTTTCCTATTTTTAGTAAGGAATAGACAATATTGGGAAATCATTCGTTCTTTCGATCACTTTTGCAATAATACATTACTCGGTTGACAGTTTTGTCATGGTACGAATATGAGTACAAATCTATTCTATAATATTTTATAAAAAGCTTACGTTGCGCGAGATTTGTAGCGACTAGTTCAAAGAGGCATTGTGCTTATGATCCATTTCACAAAGGATGGGCACTGTGACATTTAAAATTTTTACATAGCATGCATACTATTTTTAACCAATCTCTCAACCAGCTTACAAAAAGAAATAGGAAATTTGTTATAATACACCAAAACAAACAATATTTGTAGGAGTTGTAATTTTAAGTAAAAATTACATTATATTAAGAGGGAGTAGAGGAAAAATTCCTAATCTTCGATTTGATTTTAGAGGGGTATATTCACTTTAAAGTTAAAAATAAAATATTGTATGAGTAAATACACGATATATTCAAGCATAGACACTAATCAGAAACATAAAACAATAAAGTTTCCTCGATAGATAAAAATCACGAAATGACCTCTAATTTTCACATTTTTTCGATTCATCCTCGAAATGCTACAGGTTATTAGGACAAAAATTAAATAATTAATTATATTTATGCATGATCGAGAACTGTTACTACGGATTTTTTAAATCCCTTTAGTTTTAGAGTTATTCCGCTAAAACGAATTTGGTACTTTTAATGCGCAAAATTCAACATCTCCTGTCGCATGTCACGCGAACTTCAGGCATATATTTGTCTGACAAATGTGGGCGGAGCCAACGTCAAAACTTTTTTGGCATGCTCCCTCTTAAGAAGATAGAAACAGAAATAATAAAGATTTAAAAATTACAACAATTACTAGATGCGTACATGAATGTTTTGACACCATGGCATCGCTAAATAGAATCAACTGTTGTGTGTCTCACTTCCATACGAGTGCAGACACCTTATATTGTTGACACCTTGTCGATTTCTTTTGTTTTGAGTTTTGCATAACAGTTGTGGAGCAATTATTCAAATTCCGTTTCAGTGTTTTGATAGTTCCTCCGTCTGCTGAGCTCTGCTCTTGCACTGTGACAAGCAAATTTGTCTATCTCTCGTTTTAATTACAGTTCGGCAAAGCATTAAAATAAAAAAATATTCTTTTCATGCATTATTTCGAAATGGATTGCGGGGAAAGATATATGAAGAAGTTGAGGCTCTACTTACGTGTGACGCGTAGCGAATGAAGAGCGGTGTCTCCTGACACAGGCTACGCTTAAAAGGAGGCTCCAGCCACTATTGTTTAAGAAACCATGTTTTTACCACGACCTCTCAAGTAGAGGCCGTGGCTTCGAATCTGGGCTTGCACGCCTGTGTTTCTCGTCTTCTCTTACCATGAGCTTTTCGGTGAAGGAAATCAACGTGATGAGACCTGCACGTCGAAAAAGGTTTCATAACCACCATAATTAATGAGAAATATCTCCATATTAAAAAAATATGTGCAACGTCAGATATTTTGTTCTTAAATATTTCATTTTAGTCATTGACTTACAAATAAATGGACGAAGGGTCTAATACAAAAACCACGAAAAAAATGTCCCAAGTCAACCTATTTAAACGTAGTGACATGTAAAGGAATATGAAAAAGCTAAAACGTTGAATTTAAATTGTAATGTCATCGCAGTACTGTCTAATTTTGCTTGCTTCACTGTCAGTCGAACAAACGAAGACTAAAGCGTGAATGACGCTCTGTAT